GATTGAAAAGACTGGGAGGACAGATCCGAAGATCGCCGAGAGCCTGACCTAGCAACGCTAGAATAACATACTCACAACAACACAAACAAAAACTAAAAGGAAAACGATCCTAACAGGATAATGCCCGAGTGTACGATTCCAATAGGATAATACGCTCACAATCGAGTGCCAAACCAAAAAACAAGACCTAAACAAAACTACGAAGACAAATAAGAACAAGCAAAATCAAAGCAAACCATTCCACAGCAGAAAAGTCGAGCCGAACAAGCGGATGAACAATCAATTTCAAGGAGAGATCCAGAGGCCCAGAAACCACAACCGAAACTGTCGAACCGCCTAGCTAAAGCAGAAACCAAGCCCTGAACCCAACCTGAAGTCGATCTGACCCAAGTCGAAGGGAACCAAACAACATCTCATTCAGCTAACACCACTAGCCGTGACTAGCACAACCCTACCCTACTAACACCACTAGCCGAGCACGGACGCACTAGATCCCCCGGACCCATACAGAGAACCGGGGAAAGAGCTGTTCATCCCCATCGCTCCGACGCGAAGCGCTACAAGCCGATGGAGCCCCGCCCCACCTCCTAACCCATGCTCCAACCATTGTCACCGCAAAACAGGGAAACCGACGACCGGAACACAAGAAACCACGCCTGAAGAAACGAAATCTGTCCGAACCGCGGCGCCCTCCATTGTAGGAACTAGGGAGGCTCGTAAATCAGAGAGAGGGATGAGCAGCCGAGACCGACCATCGTCCGGAGCCCGATTCTGCTGAGGAAGGCGAATTGAGGATGAAAATGAGGTAGATGATTGGCGATTTGGGATTTGGGGAGAAGGGTTTCAGCAACGGAAGGGAGAAGTAACTACTTTCAAAATTCAGAGTTAGTGATTTTTGCCTAGCAAATTCTAAGAAGGTCTTCGTATTCATGGTTGGGTGGAAAATTTTTTTTGAATGTTTTGTATTACTGCTTGATATATTTTTGGGTTATTTTTTTTCGGAACGATAGAGATAATATAGAAAAGCACAAAAATGCAAAAGGAACAAATTACAAGAACCCAACGGGGTAATCTAAGGCCCCAACAGGGTAATGAGACAGGGGCCAACGGCCCAAACCAAAAACACACCTAAAAACAAACAAGAAAAGCAAACTGAGAGGTCACGCACATGGCGGCCTAGAGAACTCCACAAACGAAAAATAAAGAAAAATAAAAATAGAGCCACTGCACAATGCCTAGCATGTATTCATCTCCGAACCAAAACGAACAAACACACTGAGCAAATAAAAGGACAACCTACAAGAGACAAACAAACAGAAACAAAAATATACGGAGCCCTTCCTCGTCGCACGGCTTAGCCCAACCAGCAGTGAAACGATCGACACAAGAAGAATTCAAGATCCAGAAGCCCCTACCGAAACTGCAGAAGGCCTATACAGTAGGTTAAACTGAACCCCAAACCCTCCCCCGAATCGACCCGTCA